TTTTGAGGTGCAGGAGGCGGTCACCTCATGGCTGCTTCTGTGTTGCAATATTTTTGGGGAGGTGTTATTATTTTTGAGGTGCAGGAGGCGGTCACCTCATGGCTGCTTCTGTGTTGCAATATTTTTGGGGAGGTGTTATTATTTTTGAGGTGCAGGAGGCGGTCACCTCATGGCTGCTTCTGTGTTGCAATATTTTTGAGGAGGGCTTATTTTCGGAGGAGGGCTTATTTTAGTTCATGCGTTCAAAAGCCTGATTGGGCTTATTATGTGGGGAGGTCTTATTTGGGGGGAAACAAGAATACTGTTTTTCATATAAAACTTTCTATTACTCTTGCTGTATAATTAATCATGCTACTTGTTCTTAGTGGGTAAGGAAAATTTGAAATTATAAGGTCATCGGACCCAGGTGATTCCTAGAATTGAGTTTCAGTGTTGGCTGAGAATAGGTATGAACTGTAAACAGTACGCTTGTTGTCTACGTTGCTTGTTGATATAAATTACAACATTTGTCTTCAGGGGGATTTGTCCTTAGAATATCTTTTAAAAGTTATTTATAATCTAAATGATTCCTTATAAACTGTTGGGATATCGTTTGGGGCTTATTTATTTCTTTAACAACTTTCGATTGAAGAAGTTTTTCCAGCATGACCTATAACGATGAGATCTTTTCCCTCAACCTTACAACCAAGAAGGAAGAGAAGGCGGCAGTGTTTTTAGTCACCAAGTTGTTGTAGCCATCAGCTTAAACAGCCTGGCTCTGGCCTCACAATGCAGGCAGTCCTCCGGCTTTCCTATCCTCCCTCTGGTAAAGCTTTATGACGTGGCGGCTGCCAGGAGACTGTTGCTGTAGAGAAGCTGGCTGCTCCAAAAGACTGGTATATGGTGGCACAGTTTCCCTTATTGCAGCCCGGTGGATTAGCAGCTGCAAGGTTTTATCACTGAGTCTGACCTCTTCGATTGCTTAGCATTCTGCACCACAGTGCTGCTGTAATTTCCTAAGAGCAAGGACTTACTCAAATTCTCAGTGTCTCCTGTTATGGCTTAGTCCTTGTACCATTTTAGCAGATTCTAGAAAAGTAACGGGAAAGGCTTATTGGAAGTAAAGCCATACATACATGTGTCTTGCAACATATAAAAAGATTGCAAATTGCCGTAACTTTTGGGGATTGCAATCCACCTCATGAAAATCGAGGTTTTGTTTCCATCTGGCAAAAGTTTACAGACAGACACACAAACACACAAGAGAAGCTCTGGAATGTTTCCTATTTCATGCCTTTGAGCCATGCTGTTTAGACTGCAAGACAGTTTTGCGAAGCTCAAATGTGTATAAAATAAGTGCAGCACACAGATACAATAGTAGAACTTGGCCGCATTACATTTTTCTAGCTGTCTGATGTTATTTTAATATGTATGACAAGAGAAAGGCTCCCTCACCCCCATTTCAGTGGCGATCCTTTTGCAGAATGTCAGTTTGTTAACAGATAACACTGAACAGTTCAAAGAAACATAGAAGTAAGAAATACAGCTGAATATGTTATGTGCATAGCAGGTTAAAATTGTACTCGGTAAGTATCAGAATTACTTCTGATAATTTACTTTGAAATATTTTNAGAATTCCCCAGCCAGCATTCGCTGGCTGGGGAATTCTGGGACTTGAAGTCCAGACATCTTCAAGTTGCCAAGGTTGAGAAACACTGCTCTATAGACGTCCAGCCCAACGGACGCGAGAACCGGCGCATGCGTTTAGGGGCTCTCTCGCGCAGGCCGGGAAGAGAGGCGGGGCTTCTCGGGCCCACTCGGGCTCCTCCAGCCAGTAGCTGCCGAGGCTTCCGACGACCGGATGTTGTGATTGTGACTGTTCCTGTCCCTCCCCTTCCGGGGGAGCTCGACGGGCGCTTCCTTCCCGGCGGTTCTG